ACAGGCTGTGTGACGTGCACTGACCTGCGCACACAGGAGACAGTGCACTCCCCTTGGTTGAGACTGAGGTAGTCTGCACGAATAAAAAATGGCCTTACCCATAAAAAACACACACAAAATGATATAATGATACAGTTTATTTCAACAAACTTTACAAAACTGGTAACTTTTTTAGTGGAAAAAAGTCCTGAGTCTCTACATGCAGGGTCGGTTTGATTGACCATAATGTATTTTAATAAAATATATTTAGGAACACCATGTCTCATAAAGCTTCTTACACACATGGCAAATGCTGAGATTTTGTTTAAATGATCAGACACTTAGAAAAGTCAAAGCAAAGTTGTAAAATAGTTAAATACATGTTTAAAATATTGTGAACTTACTTTTCTTTACAAAAAAAAGTTATCTTCCTGGTTTACATGTTTTCTTTCACATAATTAAGTCACAAATTTGAAGAGCGACTTCTCCTACTAGGCCTTCAGGAATATCAGATTCTCCTGCAGACCCAGGGCAGTTTACAAAGGAGCAGATCATTTAAAGAAGGGACGAGAATTACAATCTCACTTCTGAGTTCTGCACCCCAGGTTCTGCCTGAGCTGACTTCCAACTCTCAATTAGTTCAAAACATGACACTCGATCCTAAAGCTAATTTGGCTTTGGTGCAGCCCACCAAAAGTTTCTTTATCACTGACATGACATTGAGCTCTTAGCTTAGCTGTAAAAAGTAAATCTGGAGAATCGATGAGAATGACATAAATATATTTAAATATAAAATACATAATCTTAATATTAAATTATTTTTTGAACATGCACATCTTCTTTATGCACAAAAAATAAAGTTGTACCTGGGCATGGTGGCACACAGCCTATAATGCCTATTTGGGAGGCTGGAGCAGGAGGCTCAGAGTGCAATCCAGGCCAGACTGCTTGATGACACTCCAACTAAAAGAAGGAAAACAAAATACAATAAAGTGGTGACAGAAGTAGAATCTGGATTATTTTAAAATGAAACACTGTAACATCTTCAAATAACGGCATGGCTGGGAGTGGATTACATCACAAAGTAACTGTTTATTACTGAAATTCAGTCCTGCAGAAAGCACTGAAATAAACTGATCCAAAGCCTCTCCACACCGTGTGCCTACATGCTGAAGCATGCAGTGGAACTATTGTTATGACAAAGTTGTTTATGATCAGTTGTATGATAAACTGAATTTCTCTGAAACACATGTGCTGGAAAAAAGAGAAAGCCATAAAGTTAAACTTTCTTGACCCATGAGACACTGAAAAGACATCCTGTAACTTCATGATTCTTCCGTATCTAAGAACCAAAATAGGCGTAATAAATAAATGTGCAAGTTGGGGGACTGATGGGTGCAGAATACTGAATGGAGCAACATAATCATGTATTAAAATTTAGTTTTTCGATATTAAGACTTTTTTTCGATAATAAGCTTTGCTTATTGCTGCTGTGAATAGGCATCACACGAAGGCACCGGCGTGACTCACACAGAAGATCTGGACTTAAACCTCGGGGAGATACACAGTTGAACTGTTTTCTTTCGGTCTGAGATGATTATAGCTTTAGATGGCTTTATAAGGTAAGTATTTTAAAACACGCTACCCGAACACTCCAAGCTCTTTGATACTCTGAAGTACCGTTAAGTAGTAATGCTATGGTAGTATGTGATACTTTAACAAAGGAACAGGCAAAACATATCACAATGGATGAAATTTAAAGGATGAGACAGCCTCAGAATCTCACAGTGTAAGGACAGTGGCTGGAATCGGGGCTATGTTTTTCAGCTCTCTGACCCTTACCCCTCTCTCCATGTTTTAGTAACAGGTGCTGTCAGGCTTAGAAGGGCATCATATGACCAGTGGGAAGCACACAGAAAGAAAACCAATCTGACTATAACCCAAACACTTCATTTCTGAAAGTCCCTCTAACAGTGGAACTATGCCGCCTCTCTTGCATTCATTTAGAATTCCTAGTTTAATCAATCAGTGGTTATAGAACACATGGAACAAAACTTACATAAAGAGAAATCTCTGAATTTCGGTTTCCAGAACTTTGTACCCCATGTGTGTGCACTGTGTGTGCACATGTGTGCACTCTCTCTGTGTGTGCACGTACAAGTGTGTGGCATATGAGCATATGCTGCTATGGTTTCTATGGAGTTGCCGGGGATCTAGACTTGGGCACTCATGTTTGGGCAGCAGGCACTTCACTGAGTAGGAACAGGGCTTGATGGGGCTCAGGCTTCCTCTGGGTGATCCTGAAAATGAAGAGGGCACACTGCCCAGGAGGCCTGGCTCCTGGCCCTTCCATCTCCCTTATCATCTAGCTACACAGCATACACAGTCCCACTAAAAGAACACCCCTTCATAACATTGTAGAGAGATTTAAAGTATAAAGATACAGATGAAGTCTATCACAAAACATCGCAAGATCTACCAGCTCTGAGAATATGACTTTGGGAAGTGCCCATCTATCCTGGTAAATATTCCAGGGCTGCACCTACAACAGTTGGTTTTTTAATTCCTGAAGGAGAATCGCTTTTCTTCTAAGGCCCACAACCATGGCAACGCATGGACTCTGCTCCATAAGCCTTCCGCCCTAAGCAGTTATGACAAGCAAAGGGGCTGATGAGAATCGCGACTTCTCTAAGGTTTCATATTCTTACATTCTTCCTGCAATCGTTAAAACACAAGGCCCTAATGGACTCTAAATCTCCATCTAACCTAGAATCACAGTCGCATTGTTGGTATTATCTGGTCATCGAGGTAGTGGGGGGAAACTTATCTTTGTGTATCTGTTCTTCTGTGACCTCCATGAACTGGGGACTTACTATCATACAAGTTTACAGATCATTGCCCTGAAGTTTACAGTGATTGACTGAGCTGCCAAGGTCACACAAAGTAAGGGCAGGATGTCAAATTCATATATGACTCCTCAATCCATGCTCTTAATGTCATCTTATGTGTTAACAAATAAAGAAAAAGTCACGCCCCCTCACTGTATAAATAAACTGAAGTGCATTTCGATAAATCAACTGTTTATAATTTAGTTCTTGATTTCCTTCTATTCAAACTCTCATTCCCTTAAAGGAAATACTCAAAGTCTCAAAAGAATAGAAAAATAAATTGCTTTTTACCAACAACAGGTTTCTACGTGCTTTTGTTTGTTAGTTTGCTCTTGCTGCTGTGATTTGGGTTCTGAGACAGATCTCCATACGTAGCTCTGACAGTCCCCAAACTCCATCTGCCTTGGCCTCCCTTGAGTGTTGGGATTAAAGGCATGTGCCACCATATCTGGCTTCTGTGGTATTTTTAAATGGGGAGAGATTTAAAAGTCTGCATCCAAGGTGAAGACATTGTCTGTGGTTTCTGCCATGACTGCGAACCGCTGGTACTCAGAAACTCGTTTCTCAAAGAAATTCGTTTTCCCTTCCAAAGAAATGTTTTCCATAAAATCAAAGGGGTTTTCTGCCTGGAAAACCTGGAAAGAAAAGAAATGTCATTAGAGATTTTGAAGAATCCCAATTACACTCCACAACAAGGGCAAAGATAAGAGAAACCAGGTCAGTTCCCCCACTACCCAGACACCTGCAGGACCACGCTGCACCTCTAAGGTGCTGAGGGCTTCTGACGGCTGTCATCAACTTCATTTTAAGTTTCAAAGGATCTTGAGAAACCATTTTTTTTCTTACAGAACAAGTCTGTGTCCAACACATTTTATTTTCTTGTCTGTCAGAAATGGGCCACGTGGCCCAGGTTGTCCACAAACTTGAATCCTTCTGCCTTAGAATGCCAGAATTATGGGCGGATATCACACATCCAGCTTGCCACGTGTTTAAAGGAGACTAGCGTGTTATGTGTGCTTTCAGGAGACCAAACGTGAGAGGCCCCACTGGCCTGCAACCCTGTTGGTGGTGTGTGGTCTGCATGAGAATGGAACCCAGGGGCTCCTATATTCCAGTGTTCGGTTCCAGGCTGGCGGGCTACCAAGGAAGGATGAGAAGGTGTGGCCCTGCAGGAAGAGGTGTGTCCCTGAGGGAGGGGTGCTCTCTTTCTGCCCCCTGTCTGTGGACCGGGATGTACGCTCTCAGCGTCTGCTTTGGTGCCATGCCTGTCTTCCTTCCACTGTGCTTCATGGACGAGCCCTCTAAAGCCATAAGCCAGCCACCCCCCCACCCCCATTATGTGCTTTCTTTCATAAGCTGCCTTGGTCATGGTGTCTTCACAGTGACACAACAGTCACCAAGAGAGGTAGTTAACATGATTTTAAAAACTTTAGTTACCTTAGAGAAGCCAAGTTCTACAAGTAATCTGTCAGCTACAAACTCAATATACTGTTTCATCAGAACACAGTTCATTCCAATAAGGCCAACAGGCAAGGCTTCTGTCAAAAACTCCTGAAACACAAACAAAATCAGAATAAGATTCAAACACGTAACAATAAGTATACATTCCAAAATATGGAGCATGATGGTTTGAATCTGAAATGTCCTCTACAGGCTCATGTATTTGAACACCTGGTCCCTTCCCGGTACCACTGTTTAGAAAGGTCATGGGTCACCAGGTGTGAACTCTGAGGGCCTTCTTCCCATCCCAACTCTACTTTCTGGTCTGCCAACACTGGAAGGAGGGGAGCTTTGAGCTCTTGCTGGAACCTTCCTTGCTGGGAGAGACTGCACCTTCTGAACCAAGAATACGTTCTCCTGGAGGAGTCAACGCGCAGAGGAGTTTAGCTTTATCCACATCCTAGACACTGCTTTGCTCGAGGTGGGTGTGCCAGGGTAAATTAACACAACGAACGATGGTCATCTGTTTACAAATGTCTGGGATATTACTAATTATATGATTTCAGCTTCTCAGGGGACCAAAATTAAATAGAAAATAGCAAATTACTGGGTCTTTTAAAGCAGTGTTATAGGAGCTGACTCCTGGATTTCCTCAACAAGGAGATGGTGATGCCCTGTCCTGAAGTTACCCGGACAAAGCTTCAGAGATGCCACCATGGGAAGCAGGGCTGCAAACGGGAGGCAGGAAAAGGACATTAATACCAGAGAGTGTGGAACTAGACAGACACGGTTTGGAGGTTGGGAGATATACTGAAATCCAACTATATTTGAAGACAGTGATTAAGTGTTAACAAAGGGAAAGTAAAAGCATATTAACCATGAAACTCATCCTCAAAATGGTACAGAGATGCCAAAATACAAACACATTTCTCCTAACAGCATGAAAACCCTGCCTATAACCTACACGCTGTTCAAAAGCAAGTAGAGTAAATCTCATTTTTGAGTTAGCTCTTTGGAGTGGTAAAAGTGCATTAAGTAGACTATCAAGCAGCTTCCAGGCACCAAGCTTCACACACCATAAATTAAGTTTTACTCTAATTCACTTCCTATTCACTTTGTGAATGTTTGGCTTGTGCTTCAGCTGGGCAGCCTGCTACATATTCAAACTATAAAACAAAAATTACCATCCCTCTCTCATAGTTAAAAATATAAAACTAAGAAGCTATAATAATTAAAATGTTTTCTATGTGATCATATTTAAAATTAAATATAATTTTAATTATATATCTATATAACTTTGTATGATTATACAAATATATAGTTTAAATAAATTAAATTTGAGCAAGTGAATTTAAAGCAAAAATACAGCACTGAAATAAACAAGATACACAGAAAATCCTGATATATAATAAAGACTGACTTTTAATCAAATTATAAATTGAGGTAACAATTTCAACACATCATATGTCAGTGGTTTGAATAAGAACAACCCCAGAGGATCATATATTTTCATACTTGGTCCCCAGTTGGTGGAACTCTTTGGGAAGGACTAGGAGGTGTGGCCTTTTTGGAGAAGGCGTGTCACTGGGGGTGGGCTTTGAGGTTTTAAAAACGCACATCATTCCAGATAGATTTCTGCCTTCTACTTAAGATAAGGATGTAAGCTCTCGGCTACTGCTCCAGCACCACACCTGCCTACAGCTGTGCTCCCCACCATGATAGTCATGGACTCTACAACCTTGAGTCCCAGATTAACTGTTTTTCTTTTATAAATTGGTATTTTTTCACAGCAATGGAAAAGCGACCAAGACACTGTCATATTGAACTACATGATATTGACGTACGAATTACAAGTTACAATTGTCAAATGCTTCTGGACACAGTGGCACAGTGCCAGGAGGGTGAGGCAGAAGAACTGCATTAGTCCAGGAGTTCAAGGCTAGCCCACACAGTGGCAGGAGGGTGAGGCAGAGGACTGTATTAGTCCAGGAGTTCAAGGCTAGCCCACACAGTAGCAGGAGGGTGAGGCAGAGGACTGCATTAGTCCAGGAATTCAAGGCTAGCCCACACAGTGTGAGGCACCATTTCAAAACAAATTTTAAAGGCAAACTGCAGGGACTGGAAAGACAGCTCCACTTGAAGCACTGGCTGCTCTTCTGGAGGACCAGGCTTTCATTCCAGCACCCGCAGGTCACAACCACACACAGCTCCATTTCCAGGAGATCTGTTCTCCTTTGCTGGACTCTGTAGGCAGCAGGCAAGCATGCAGAGCACAGAAAGACATGCAGGCAAAACATGCATGCACATAAAACTAAATAAAAATAGAGCAAATAAACTAAATATAAAATATATCACATGAGCAGCCACATGATAACCGGATGTGCTAATGACTACGTTAAGCTCCCGTGCTTACCTGCTCAATTTTAACGGCATCGACAATGATCTCCCTGACCCTTTTTTCTGAAGGCTTATTTACCAAGTACTGAAACATCAGGCAAGCAAAGTCACAGTGAAGCCCCTAAAACAGAGGACAAGCATTGTTGTCAAAGAACTTCCATTAAAAACTTGTACAATGTGTCAACGTGCTGTGTGAAGTATGGACAGGGAGTTTCCTCTTTCCTCCAAACTGCATTGAACGCCAAGACCATAACTTATAATTGAAACTTTTAACCATAGTAAATCTTACTTTTTTTAACATTTTACATTATTATATTAATACTAATTTACAAACCAAAAAATTTGTAACAAAAACATTTTGGAAAGGAAACAATGTAAGACACGACAACAAGAAAACTGATTTTTTTTTTTCCGAGACAGGGTTTCTTTGTAGTTTTGGAGCCTGTCCTGGACTCGGTCTTGTAAATCAGGTTGGCCTTGAACTCACAGAGATCAGCCTGCCTCTATTTCCAGAGCACTGGGATTAAGGGCCTGCGCCAACATCATCCCGCTGAAAACTAATTAATTTTTAAATGTAAAAAATTTAAAGAGTGATTGAAGAACAGTAATTAGTTGTGGTGATAAATCATGGTTGCCAATTTGATGGGACTGAGAATCACCATAGAAACACACCTCTGAGACATCTGTGATTTTTCTGTATTAGGCTAATAAAGTGGGAAGATCCATCCCTACTGTAGGTGGTGCCATTCTGTACCATTCCACAGACTGGGGTCCTACACTGAATAAAAAGCAGGCAGTGAGTTAGACACCAACACCCTGCACTCTCTGCTTCATAACCGGTGCTGCCTCTGCCTTCCCTGCTGTGATGGACCGCACCCCTTGACCTATGACCCAAGTAAGCCTACCTACCCTCCCTCCCTCCCTTCCTTCGTTGCTTTTTGTCAGGGATTTTCTCACAGCAATGGAGAAAGTAGCTAATGCAGGAGCACTTACAGAGAGACCCCGGAAAGACAGCGTTTGTAGTGTAACAGCACTAGAGAAAAGAGAACTTGGTGCGATGCAAATGGAAAAGCAGGGTGCAGCCACCTGAAGCCACAGGAAATAACTCGACCAGGAAAATAAACACAGGAACGGCCTCGAGCACAAAATGATCCTGCAGATCAATGACTATAAAACCTGAAGTAGCGGCAGAACAGATGGATGAGGTTAGCCAGCTCTCAGGACTCCAAATCAGAGCTTCAAATCCCCAGAACAGGCAGTTTCCACAAATCCAAAACAGAAAGAGAAACAAGGCCACAGACAGGAAGACAACAGATATCCCAACAGTATTAACTCTTAAAACATATTGCCAAGGTAGGGTCCATTAATATTTTTAAACTACAAAGAAAGAAAGAAATTTGTAAGGGACCAAGGACGGGAAAGAAACACTCACTATAAGAGGGTACAATTCAGAACGACTTAGGTCTTGCTAAGTAACACAACAAAAGACCAACCATTCAGAAAAGAACTTCATGTCAAAGACTGTATTTCAAGGAATACCAACCTAATCATTCTTTGGTAAAACCATCTGAATAAACAAATAAAACCCATACCCTTTGAAAAGATAATCATGGGAATTGTACTATTTTTTCCCCACCGAGTTGACTCAGGGCGATGCCTGGATTAGCAAAGGCAGCATGGGAGATGCTAAAGGCTGCTCAGCACTGGCAGCTAGCGAAGGACTGCAGAGACCAGCACACCACCGACAAGCACAGCTGTCAGAGCGGTAAATGAATAACTCCAATCAAAATCCTGGTACTTCTTAATCCAAAAACTACTCTGGAAGGATAAATGGGAATAACGTTAGAAGGACATTGTAAAATGAACATTTTGAGATGTATTCTACCAATCCCACTGAAGTACAGGCTTGTAATCTCAGACACTAGAGAAGTTGAGGCAGGAGAATCGAAGATCAAGGCCTGTCTGGTCTACAGAATGTGTTCAGTGTTAATCTAGGCAACTTGGTAAGGCCGAATCTCAAGACAAAAGGAAGAGGACTGGGGAATAGCTCAATGGCAGAGTGCTTGTTTCACAAGCTTAAGGCCCTGATCTCATTCCTCAGCACAGGAAAAACTGGTATGGGGGCTCATGTCCCTGATTCTAGCTGTCAGGGATCAAGGTCATCCTCTGCTAAATATTGAGCCTAAGACCAGCCTGAGAGACATGAGAAACCTGTCTTTAAAATCACCAGGGCTAGCAAGATGGTTCCATGAGTAAAGACTCTGCTGCCAAACCTGATGATTTGGGTTCAGTTCCTGGAACCAACATGACAAGGTGAGCCAACTCCTACAATGTGGTATCCTCTGACTTCCACATGTGTGTCATGGCAGGTACCACCAAGGCAGGCAGGCAGACAGACAGACAGTCACACACACACACACACACACACACACACACACACAAATAAATACATGCAATACATGTCTTTCAAATCAAAGGATCATTTGAGAAAATATTTAAAATAAATACAATGAAATTAAAATTGCATATTATACTCATCCTATCTATCTATCTATCTATCTATCTATCTATCACAAATTCAGTAAACAATGTTAAAAGAGGCCAATCAAACCAAGCATAGTGGTGTACTCTTTTAATCCCAACACTCACAGGGCAGAGACAGGTGGAATCGCTGAGTTCTCGGCCAGCCTGGTCTGCAGAACAAGTTCCAGGACAGCCTGGGTTACAGAGAGAATCCCTGTCTCAAAAACAATAATAATAAAAGAGGTCAATTAATAACTGTGTGTTAGGAAAATGTCAATAACCATAGCAAATTTGAGTCTTTCTTTGAAGATTAAAGAATGCAATATAAATGGCCTTAGAATAGTAATAGTACCTAAGCAAGAAAAATATGAACATCACAACTGGAATAAAGGACAAGAGGTGGCTACAGAAAATATACACAATATAATTATGAGAACGAGCTCAACACCAGCAATAAACAGAGAGAATAAACACAAGAATGAAGTGCCAGCTTATCCATCAGATCTGCCCTGGTCATGCATGACTAATGGAGCTGGTAACGGCTGTAGAATGTCTGGAAAGAAACCTGAGCGAATATAAATGACCTGCTAATTCTTCTTTATAATTGAATTTAAGAAAAATTAAAAGGTAAGACAAAGCTTATATGCAGTTTCACTTTATTAAAGCAAAACAGCCTGGCATGGTGATGTGTGTCTTTAATCCCAGCACGTGGGAGGCAGAGGCAGGCAGATCTCTGTGAGTTTAAGGCCAGCCTGGTCTACAGAGCAAGTTTCAGGACAGCTACGGTTACAAAATAAGATGCCATCTCAAAAAGAGAAAAGCAAAGCAAAAATTCAGGAAACAAATTTCTAATTAGGATCGAGTAAATGATACATTTACTCACCAGACTATTACAACCCTAACAAACTGTTTTGAAAGAATACATAGTATAAAAAGGGACTCAACACTGGCCAGTTGGAGAAAGAATGTTGTGCTGACTCACACCTGCAACCCAACACTCAAGGTGGAGGCAGGAAAACGTCCTATACAAGGTTAGCCTGGGCTACACAGTGTTGGGGATATTAGATCACAATGAACCCTGAGTTTGCATGTGCGTTAATTAAATACAGTTAACCTTGGGTCAGGAAGCTGAGTTAGCAATTAGCTGACAGAAAGTAATCATTGAGTACCAGAGGGCCTCAGAGAGTGGGGGAGGGGAGGGGAGGGGGAGAGAGAGGAAGTAGTAAGGAGGGATTTGAAGCGGTGTGGTTTTTTTCTGGTTTGGGGAAGGTGGGAACATGGATCCCACCAAGGGATGCCACCAAGGAGGGAAAGTTAGTTATTTGTCAGCCTCTCTGAGCTCACAGGTTTTCACCCCAGCTTTTGGATCTCTAGTCTTATTTATAAACAGAACGAGAGCGATTTAGTTAAAACTGCCGTTAGCAGCAACGACACAGCCAGTGCCAGAAAAGCAGGCCGGTGACTGTGGAGTTGCAATTGCTGTCTGAAATAGCAGTAGATTAAGGCGCAGCCACTGTGGTGAAGTTAGAACAACATGGTAAGATCCTGTCTCTAACGAGCAAAAAAAATAACAGCTACAAATTATAAAAATATGATATACACACACAGAGGTACTGGAGAAAGAGAAACAGAGATTTAAATGTAGAAAAGTCTATAAAAGAACACAATAAGTAAACATTACCTCTGAGTTTGCTGACCTTTCTGCTAAATTCTCTATGATAATTGTGGCATTTATTGTCTAAGTTATTAGAAAGTTAAAGGCATCAAGCAGAAGAATATAATTATATCAAGCATTTGTACACTTAGAAAACACTTTTCACAGGGCTGGAGAATCAGCACAGGAGTTAAGAGAACCTGCTCTTCAAAAGAACTAGGTTTGACTTCCAGCACTCACAGGGTGGCTCACGACCATCAAAAATTCCAGGTCCAGGGGTTCCAACATTACCTCCTGAACTGCAGGGGCACCAGTTTGCACACAGTAAACTACATACATGTGGGCAGAACATCCAAATGCATAAAATAAATAAGAAATCTTTAAAATTTAAATACTTGTCACACACACCGTCTCCTCACACTCTAACAGCCCCTGTTGGAGTTGACAGCTAAAGAAACAGAGTTCAGAGAAGTCACCTGCGAAGGCTCCTCAGAAGACGAACGCTGAGGAGCCTGGGTCAGTGCGGGCAGACATGAACTGGGCAGCTTTCAGGGACTAAACTGGAATAAGGGTAATGTCCATGCTAACAAGCTTAGCGTCTAAGCAAGCAGGCATGCTGAGAACTTGTGAGAACAAGCGACTCCTGAGAGAAGCAGTGCTCAGTTTCACCTCACGGAATCGGGAATGCTGAGTTGCCTCCTTGCAAAAAGTGATCGACAGGTGAAAAAATAAATAAAAGAAGGTGGGAAGAAAAATGAGGTGTGTCAGGCAGGGTGAGACAAGACTTGGTTAGAACTGGATGTGGCTCCCAGGGTATCAGGCTGTGACAAGAAGATGGAACCATCAGTCTGCTTGGGAGGAGACAATGAGACGTGCTCTCTGAGATACTTGTTCGAGAAGCACGTGGAGGCTACAAAGAAAACACCTGGCGTGCACATGAATGTAGGCCTGGAACTCGGGAAAGAGTGCCTGGAGTCCAGAGATGGCTGGAGGACGTGTGAACGTTTAGATTCCATGAGGACAAAGGAGACCAAGGCAAGAATCTACGACATTCATGTTTAAGGATAAATGGAGGCCAGGGAGGAATAGCGGCTGCGGAAGGAACACAGTCTCGCAGGCCCAGGCAGAAGTGTGTTTCTATTTTCTTTCCGCGATCTCCAGGGGAAAGAAAACTAAAGGAGCACGTGTATCACAAGCGCGAGGGAAGAACACCCGCACGTGTATCACAAGCACGAGGGAAGAACACCCGCACGTGTACCACAAGCACGAGGGAAGAACACCCGCACGTGTACCACAAGCGCGAGGGAAAAACACCCGCACGTGTACCACAAGCACGAGGGAAGAACACCCCCTTCCTTACTTCATCCCTGCTGATCAGTTCATTTGAGAAAGTGAGTCCGGGCATGAGGCCTCTCTTCTTCAGCCAGAAGATAGCAGCAAAGGACCCAGAGAAGAAAACGCCTTCCACGGCAGCAAAGGCCACCACTCTCTCCCCTACGAGACAAAACAGGCTCCATTTTCCAACTGGACGCTAAAGACATTCGCAAGTCTACAGATGCAGGGGGTTTTCACATTAAACCGCCTTTCTAAGAAATGAGCCAAACAAGACAGCGCTCTCCACAGAGGTCTTCAGGGCAGAGGTTTTCCACTCTGCCTGCTAAAGGAGAAAGACATGTCTGTTTCAAACCCTGTGGCAAGCATGGATTTCATGTTTTTTTTGTCTGGTTTTGTCTGCACAAAAAAAAAAATGGATTTCCATACACCAAATAAATAAAAAAGAGGTGATTTTCCTGTAAAGAGCACATGCCTGTGAGTGCAGACACGTGTGTGAGCTCACTACATGTACACATGTGTGGACCCTAGAAAGGGAAGCACGAGATAAACCTATGATAACCATCTTCCTCTAATGGGAGGAGTGGTTGCTAAGGTTTATATTTTTGTTAGCAGCCCATTGTTGCTAAAAGATTAGCTGTGAGCATTTCAAAAATCTTGCAGAATAATTTTAAAAAATCAGCTGAAGGCAATGAATTCACCTCGAGGATAAAATGTTCTGTTAAAGACAGAAGAGCCAACTTAAAAGTTCATTCACTGCAGGCAAGGTCTCTGCAGAGACTCATTCCTAAATATCATTAGTGACATCACAAGGTCTCTGCAGAGACTCACTCCCAAATATCTTTAGTGACATCACAGCTGTGACACTGTCTTTAGGGTATTTCAGATTATAACACACACACACACACACACACATACAAAACAACTTTAAAATTTAAAATCGGATTATAACACACACACAATACAATTTTAAAATTTAAAACCATTCTATAGACATGTCTAATTTTTATGCTGAAATCCATAATTTCTAATTTTCAGAAAAAATATGTAAATCTCAAAGAGCAGGGTGATCTATCTTATCAACTTTTGAGAATATATGTGAATAGAGACAAGCAGGATACTCATTCTGAAAACCGCAGTGGAGGTAGAAGCCTTATAGTGTGTTTGGAGGGAAAGTGGGCTGTACTTTTTACCTACAACAGAGTCCACAGTGCAGGACACTGAACGCATAAATACTAGTTTTTGAGGTTACGGATGTAATTTCAAAACAAATATTAAAAGTTAATATATCTGTCAATCTTAAACTGGACAACAGATAAAGGCTGGAGAGGTGGCTCAGTAGCTAAGAGCACTGCCTGCTCTTCCAAAGGTCCTGAGTTCAATTCCCAGCAACCACATGGTGGCTCACAACCATCTGTAAAGAAATCTGGCGTCCTCTTCTGGCCAGCAGGCACATATGCAGACAGAATACTGAAAATACTGTATACATAATAAATAAATAAATCTTTAAAAAACTCAGATAAATAATTAGAAATTCTTAGCTTTATAGGAACTGAATCTTCTTACAGCATAACACATAAACTTTAAAACAAAGGGATATTTTCAAAGGATTATTTTTTTAAGTTTTTCTTTTGCTAAAAACAATAGACGGTAAGATTTTAGAAGCAGGGAAAGAACAGCTGCCCTCCTGGTTCTTGCTTGGGGTAGCAGTTGCCAAGAAGTCTCCACAATGGTTGGGCAAAGTCCTGCACAAGGAAGAGCTGCCTTTGAGTGTGTTAGGGTGCAGGTGGCCCTCAGAACTGCATGTCCTCTGCTGGCTACGGAAACAGGAAGTGTGCCGCACAGCAAACCATCCCCATACTGCATATGCTCTGCTGGCTACGGAAACAGGAAGTGTGCTGCACAGCAAACCATCCCCAGAACTGCATGTCCTCTGCTGGCTACGGAAACAGGAAGTGTGCTGCACAGCAAACCATCCCCATACTGCTGACTTCTAGTGCCACTACTCAAAAAGGGGAGCTACCAATTGCATAGCCAATCTCTTCCTATCCTTCCACAGTTCACACATGTACGTATCATGGCACACACATGCCTCTGTCCCTCTACACAAAAATTAATGTAAAAGTATTGTAAGGCTTGGTTGAGTGACACATGCTTGTCCCCATGCTCAGAAGGCTGAGGAGGAGTGCAGGTGAGTTAGAGGCCATCCACTCTGAGCTACACACAGAGTAAAAAAAAAAAAAAAAAAAAAAAAAAAAGTTATCCAGAAGTATGTCTGCATTTAACTTACCAGTGGAAGCTACGCTTGGTACTGCAAACTGTTTCTTGTCCTGGTTGACTATACCAATCTTGCATTTCAGAAGCTAGATCTTTGTTTCCAAGACTGGTAGGAGTTGACTTGCTCTATCCCTGGCACACTTTAAACCAGCACAAACCGGCGGTGACTGCAACTCTCTTGATTGGGTTTCATTGACTTTTTAACTCGCCAGTGTGCTGCCGAGATCCTGCCTTCTCGGGTTCTACTGTACTAAGCACAAGGAGCAGCTTACTTAGCACCAGTTCCTAGGTAATGATCACACAGAGTCCAGTGCGCTGGCGCACTAAAGCCCCCGCACTCCGCTCTCACGCTAACCTGACGGCATTCCAGGTAATGCTACGTACCGAACGTCGACTTTCTGTCGGCTATCCAGCGCAGAGCCCAGTCTGCCTTCTTCTTAACATACGGCATTGTTTCAATTGCATTAAACAAAAATTCCCTATAGAAACAAAAGACATCAAGGAAAAATTATTCATTTGTTTGTTACCTGGACTAAGGTTTAATAATCAGAGACAATGACTGTGACTCTTACGGTGCACTACCAAATCGAGTTTGTCTATATTTTACATGTTCATAGTTATGAATACAGAAATAAAAGCAAAACTCAGATTAATGGCTTGGATATAAACGGATCTAAAAAAAATCATTGAAATGCAGATATTCAATTTATAAATACAAACAAGGGTTTAAAATGGTATTCATTATCTATCTGGTTCTATGCCAGGTCTTTAATACATTATTGAGCAACAGAAAACTACACTCACAATCTTCCATGCATGACTAATATTTAATACTGTAGTTTTGGAATAAATTCTACTTTCAAAGTAAGCAAAAAGCTAAACCTTCATAAATAACTATCCCACACACACACGTTAATGCCTTTTCTTTGGATCCCAGATGTAAGTGTCTATTAGTAAACTGTAGATCTCTGACACACACACGGTAATACCTTTTCTTTGGATCCCGGATGTAAGTGTCTATTAGTAAACTGTACATCTCTGAGTGGACGTTCTCGATGAGAATTTGAAAGCCATAGAAACAGCGAGCCTCTGGAACCTGCACCTCTTGACTGAACCGTTCCACCTACAGAAACATGGGGAATGGAGAGATCCGCTGAGTGGCCTATCACAAAACGCTGGTCACACACTACAAGCATAACGTGACATCAGAACTCTCATTTTAAAATCTTTTGTCTTTTCCAGCAGTCAGGAAGCTGGACAGGAGGATACGAATCTCAAGACCAACCTTGGAAACATGATCTAACTGATCTTGAGATCAATTAGAAGGCTCAGGAGCTAAAGTTGCTGCCAAACCTAATGATCTGCAACCTCATGGTGGAAAGACTGGCTCCCCCAGGCCTTCTGACTTACACACACACACACACACACACACACACACACACACTCGTAAGTAAAATTTATACAATAAATAATAAATTGGGGGAAAGATGTCACTTATACAACAAAGAGGACACAAAAGACTTATCAATGTTTTTCTTTCTTTTCTCTTTTCTCATTGTTTCGTGGTTCTGAGGATCAAACCCAGCATCTTACTCAAGCTGGGTGAGCACTCCATCCTCAGTCTTTATGGGTTGTTTAAAGCAGCATCGTACACGGTGCTGAAGTGTTTTACACTGAGCACTTTGCCTACAACTCCATGAACTGTGTTCCTGCAATGGGACAAAATTACACCGCCCATTGAACAGTCAATTTTAGAAAATTATCAAAAACAGTGATTTTGCTTTGTAAAGCTTTTTCCCTAATAGTAGTGGACGGATTCGTTAAAGTTCTTCTGGCTCATTCTGGATGTTCCTACTTCTACTCTCCTTAACAAAAACCTATTTCTCCTGACTGATCAGAACACGACCTCTTTTTTAAAATTGTTTTTATTGAGCTATATATATTTTAACACTCTCCTCCCTTCCTCTCCCCTCCCCTTCAACCCTCTCCCAAGGTCCCCATGCTCCCAATTTACTCAGGAGATCTTGGCTTTTTCTACTTCCCATGTATATTAATCTACGTATGTCTCTCTTAATGTCCTCGTTATTTAGGTTCTCTGGGAATGTGAATTGTAGGCTGGTTTGTCTTTGCTTTATATCTAAAAGCCACTTATGAGTGAGTACATATGAAATTTGTCTCTCTGGGTCTGGGTTACCTCATTCAATATGATGTTTTCTAGATCCATCCATTTGCCCACAAATTTCAAGATGTCATTATTTTTTTCCACTGTGTAGTACTCCATTGTGTAAATGTACCACATATTCCTTGTCCATTCTTCAGTCAAGGGGCATTTAGGTTATTTCCAGGTTCTGGCTATAACAAATAATGCTGCTATGAACACAGTTGAGCACATGTCCTTGTGGTACAGTTGAGCAACTTTTGGGTATATACCCAAAAGTGGTATTGTTGGGTCTTAAAGTGGGTTGTTTCCTAATTTTCTGAGAAATTGCCATACGGATATCCAAAGCTGTTGTACAAGTTTGTACTCCTACCAGCAATGGAAAAGTGTTCCCTTTGCCCCACAACCTCTCCAGCATAAGTTGTCATCAGTGTTTGTGATCTTGGCCATTCTGACAAGTGTAAGATGGAATCTCAGAGTTGCTTTTTTTTTCTTTATTCCTTGTCAGTCAGAAAATTGGGGAGAATAAGCTAAGATGGGTCTTCAGTACTAAAGGTTTCTCTCTCTCTCTCTCTATCTCTCTCTCACACACACATTTCCTCCTTCCCTCCCTCCTTCTCTCCCCCCTCCTTTTATTTTGATATTTACTAAGGTCTACATTTTTCTCTGCCTCCCTCCATGCCTCTCCCCTCCCCGCTTCAGCCCTCCCCCAAGGTCCCCATGCTCCCAATTTACTCAGGAGATCTTGTCTTTTTCTACTTTCTACTTCCCATGTAGCTTATATCTATGTAAGTCTCTCTTAGAGTCCGCAGAGTTGCTTTGATTTGTATTTCTCTGATGGCTAAGGATGTTGAACATTTCCTTAAGTATCTTTCAGTCATTTTAGATTCATCTGTTGAAAGTTCTATGTTTAGGTCTGTATCCCATTTCTTATTGGATGATGTGGTATTTTGATTACCAATTTATTGAGTTCTTTATATGTTTTGGAGGTCAGCCCTCTGTTCAATGCAGGGTTGGTGAAGATTTTTTCTTATACTGTAGGCTGCTGTTTTGTCTTATTGACCATGTCCTTTGCTTACAGAAGCTTCTCAGTTTCAGGAAGTTCCATTAATTGTTTCTCTCAGTGTCTGTGCTGCTGGGGTTATATTTAGGAAGTGATCTCCTGTGTCAGTGCATTCAAGTGTACTCCACTTTCTCTTCTATGAGGTTCAGTGTGGTTGGTTTTATGTTGATGTCTTTGATCCATTTGGACTTGAGTTTTGTACATGGTGATACATATGGATCTATTTCCATTCTTCTACATGTTGATTTCCAGTTATGCCAGCACCATTTCATAACACATTTTTTATATGAGGAGCAGAACCTAGATATACGCAGAGCTGCAGGTGACTATTAAGGGCATGTTCTCTATCAAGTTTGTTATTGGAGGAAAAAATCAAGTTTATGGATTCTGTGAAATTTTGGATTTTGTTTCACATCACTGAGGCTAAAACTGAAGGCCTCTATAATGCTACCAGTGCTGTCCAGGGTCAGGAACATCTTCAGCCTCACACTGTATGTAGTTGTAATTAGTAAAATTTATGCTTGATTCCATAATATATTGCTAATCATTTGATAGCAACTACCTTTTCCTCTGAAACTTCATGAGAAAAATATTCTCAGAAATTAAACTTTTTGGTGTCTGGGGAGGCACCTTTACTGGGAAAGAATACTTGCTACATTAGCATGAAGACCCTAGTGTGAATTTCCTAGCACCCACATGAAAATCTGGGCATGTGTCTATGAGCCTGTAACCCTAGTGCAGAGGTATCAGAGACAGAGGATCCTTGGGGTTCCCTGGACAGTCAATTTAGCCAAATAATGGTGAGCTCCAAGTTCAATGCAGAGACTTTCTCTCAGGGAATAAGGCAGAGAGCAACAGAGGAAGACAGCCCATGTCTCCTTGGCCTCTGCCCAGACATGCACACACACCACAATGTTTTTAACTAGAAGTTAAGCTTCACCTAATCTATTGTCAAGGCACCTTTCTTTCCTCAGGCAGGATCTATGGTAACCTTATTAACATTGTCATTCAAGTACAAAATAGGGACAACAATAAAATAAAATCTTACCAAGTTCTCATTGACAATTCCATCACTGGCTGCAAAAAAGGCTAAGATGTGGGAGATAAAATACTTCTCATCTGACTTAAGCTTGTTCCAGTGAGGGAGGTCCTTTGACAAGTCAACCTAGGATAGACACACTCCAGTTGCTTTTCACTTAAAGAGTTTAGAAAAGTTTTTCTTTAAAGAAGAGCTATGTCAGAAAAAAATACATTAATAAAATCACAAAAAATCAAAATAAGATAAATGGTATGTTAACAATAATGTGCTGCACTCAGAACAGTTACCTAATTAGTACATTATAGCTGCTCTTGCCACACAGGAGGACAAGTACATGGAACAGTATATATGTTTATTTGTTAACGGGAAAAACTTTACACACGTGTGTGTGCTCGCATGCAAGTGTGTGCATGTGTGTGCAAGCATATTTTACAACACCATGATCCACACCTTAAACATATCCAGTAAAATTTGTTTAAACAAACAAAACAATCCTAGCATGTTCGAGGAAGTGGGGAGGGAGAGAGAGAAACGAGGTGAGAAGGGGAGGACATTTGAGAAGGAATCTGGTTTTTGGCTAATTGGCCAGGATACATTCTTAACATATTAAAATTAATAAAGATAGTGGCATAGCACCAAGTTAATGAATGAATAAAAGTGAAAGAGAAGTAAAAACTAGTCGAGTATATACAGTAGATATCAGCAGTCATTTGTTTCTGCAGTAGTTACTATTCTATTAGCGAGATTCAGCACCTGCTAATTATAGCCTCTAAGCTACTGCTAGCTGCTCTTTTTTACTGAAAAGTCATTATGTCAGGAAGATGAACCTGGGTTTCAAGGCAGTTTACAGGGATGACTTTGTGGTAGCTTGAAAAGGAGTGGTTCCCAAAGACTCATGTGTTTGAATGTTTGGCCCATAGGGAGTGGCACTATTGGCCTGGTTAGAGGAAGGGTACCACTGTGCAGGCAGACTTTGAGGTCACATATGCTCAAGCTACACCTGAGTAGAATACAGTTTACTTCCTGTTGCCTGTGGATCAGGAAGTAGAACTCTTAGCTCCTTTTCTAGAACCATGTTTGTCTGCAGGCTGCCATGTCCTCCAAGATGATAATGTAAACCTCTGAAAATGTAAACCAGCCTCAATTAAATGTTTTCCTTTATAAGAGTTGCTGTGGCCATAGTGTCTCTTCACAGCAATAGAAACACTAAGACTGGCTTCTTCTAGAATAAAAATACATTTGAAAATGTTTATTAAAAGTATTCTTTGGAACTAAGAGAGTAATGGAATAAAAAACTTGGCAAAATCCAAACTTTTCAAATTATCACTAAATGTACCTTACTGAGTTAGCTGGCTCTTGCTGCTATCCCAAGTCACCACAGACAGGATAGATTTTTTAAAAAATCATTTATTCTTCAAAGTTCTGGAAGCTGTAAGTCCAAGGTCTGGGTGTGTGCTGGCTAAGTTTACAACCACCTGACACAGACAGAGTCATTCTGGAAGAGGGAACCTCAACTGAGAGTGAGACAGACAACGGAGACCTGGCTTGTGACGTTTCAGACGGAAGTCTGAGAGTCCCTTTAAAAGCTACCAGGCTGTACAGTATTTTGAGTTGTGTTTCCTGGGTTTCAGCTGGAGCTGAAAAGTCAGCTGTGGCTAATTAACAAGAGACCAGCACCACGGAAGAGAAACCTTTCCATTACTTGGACAATCAATGCTAGTTAGCTGGAACTGAGAAATTAGCAGTAATTATGAAGAGACCCACAGCAGAGGATCCTAAGTCTGGAAATATTCCTGGGGACCAGCACACAGAGCTTGTGGTCCTGCTGGGACCAAGGCTGCCCTACATGCTGGGACCAAGGCTGCCCCACATGCTGGCATTCAAACCCAGTAGTAAAAAAGTCCCAGGTGGTGCTGGTTTTGAGGGCATGACGGCATCCTCAAGAACAGCTGAAGCTTGGCACTGTGTGGCAGGCTAGAGTCCCTTGAACGACCAGGCGCTGCCATGGATGAAGGTGCAGCCTGAGTTACAGTTGAAGCCCCAGGAAGAAATGGAGCCTGGCAGGGTTAGAGGAGAACCTAACAGGGTTAGGGTCTGAAGAGAGCCACAAAAAGGCTACCGGTGAAGGTGCAGCCCAGGTGCAGTGGTGAGCCCAGTGTGTGGGAGACACCAATGTCGTGGGAGAACTACCAAGGACAGTAGAACTGTGGAGCGGAGCAAGTCTGTGGCTAGGAGATATGGTGTGTGGCAGAGGCTGGAGCAGAAATAGCCTGGGCCCTCTGGGGGAGCCCAATGTTGCGGGTGAATTCCAGATGGCCAAAGCTGAACTTTTTACACTGTTGGGCTTGGATTTTGCTTTGATTGGTTGTGACTGTGCCCTTGTTCTTTCCTGGTGACAGAGGTTTCTGTCCCGCCCAGTCCTGCAGCCATTCAGTCCCAAAAAAATACGCAGAGGCTTATGTTAATTATAAACTGGTTCACCTATTAGCTCAGGCTTCTTATTAACTAATTCTTACATCTTAAATTATCCCATAATTCTTGTCTGCATTAGTCACATGGCTTGGTACCTTTTACCAGCGAGGCCTTCTCATCTTGCTTCCTGTGTCTGGGTGACAACTGCAAACTCAGCCTTTCCTTTTCCCAGAATTCTCCTGTTCTCCTTGTCACCCGGCCTATACTTCCTGCCTGGCTATTGCCAATCAACGTTGTATTAAAACCATACGTCTGACAAATCTTTACAGGGTACAAGACCATCGTCCCACAGTCTGCACTCTCCTCTTGGAGTAGGAAAGAACCTTTTTTTTTTTTTTTTAACAAGGCCACTGTTAAGAGACTTCATTGTAAAAAGATTTCAAACTTTTTTGGAGAGACTTTGGAGCTTCAAAGAGACTTCAGATATTTTAAAGTGACTGAGCCTTTTAAGTGTTTGAATTTGTAAAGACTATAGGATTTTTAAAAGTTGGAATGCTTCATATCATAATACTATTATTAATGTGAAGGTTTGCAGAAGAACAAGAAATGGTTATGGTTTATTAGTAAAATGCTTGTGTCAACTTGACAAGGGGTCAATTGTGCTGGCTGGTGTTATGTGTCCCTTCCCAACATCATACTGGCCTGTGGGCAAGCCTGTAGAGTTTTTCTTAATTGATGATTGATGTTGGAGGGTCCAGCCCACCAGGGACGGTTCCACCCCTAGGCCAGTGGTCTTAGGTGCTATGAGAAAGCAGGTTTAGCCAGGCGGTGATGGCACATGCCTTTAATCCCAGCACGCAGGAGGTAGAGGCAGGCGGGTCTCTGTGAGTTCGAGGCCAGCCTGGTCTATAAGAGCTAGGTCCAGGACAGGCTTGAGAGCTACAGAGAAACCTTGTCTCAGCAAAAAGAAAAGAAGAAAGGAGGTTTAGCAAGGCGCAGAGAGCCAGCCAGTAAGCACCCGGGTTCTTGCCTTGAGTACCTACTCTGACTTTCCTGGATGATCAACTACACGCCGTAAGATGAAATAAACCCTCTCCTCCCTAAGTTGTTTTTGGTCATGGAAACCCAGCCTAAGATGGAATAGGGATCTTTTTTTGATGTGTATAGATGGTTTGTCTGCACATGTGTTTTTTGTACAATGTACATGCTGGCTGCCCACAGAGGCCAGAAGAGTGTCAGATCCCCTGGAACTGGAGTTACTAATAATTTTGAGTCACCATGTGAGTCCTGCCAATCAAATCTGAGTACTGTAGAAGAGCAGCCAGTGCACTTAACTCCTGAGTCATCTCTGCAGCACCCAAAGCTGAACATCTTCAAGAAGTTCTTTAGAGAGTGCCTTCTTGCCGTATGGTCACAGAGCAAAGAGAAAACCCCCTTTTGATATTTTTTATAAAGACATTAATCCCACTCATGAGACCTTTACCCTCATTACCAAATTAACTCCCATTGCCCAGCCTCCAAACACCATCACGCTGGGGATTAATGGCTCAACTTACAAATCTGGAGAAGACATCAGTACGTAGCTCTTATATTGTTTTATAAAAACCTCTAAGTGTGTTTCACAGTAATGTGACAAACACTTAAAATATATAACTGTCCTTTGTAAAAAAACAAAACAAAACAAAACAAAAACTCTGCTGGCTTTGATTCTTTAATTATTTTAAACAAATTTCTCCGTGACCTTTCAAAAAACAAAAAGACCAATATTCTAACCTTCAGTCATTGTATCCTTTCCTGAAACTCTTTTCCTGCTATATTCTAAGTATTTTCTGGGCACTCAATACATGCCAGACAGTAGGCTAAGCTCTAGAAATACAGTAAGATGAGGAGGGAAATACTTGTCTCCACTATATAAAATACACCGGCAGATGCCGAGCTCCCTTCTACCACCAGCTCACCTCGGGTTAAATCAGGGCGTCTTCTTGTTCTCAAGCACTATATTCCTGATATTAAATTTAATACTGTAATATTCCTGGTCTTAAATACTAAATTTGCCTCTTTAAACACTGAGCTTTAAAATTCCCTATAAATTTTACTTATATTGTTAAATAATAATGGTTATATTTCCTTCTAGAAGTAAAATTCCTTGTCTATTTTATCTCATATGAGCTCACCCTCAACTTCACCACCTAAATCGTGATTCCAGACTTGCTGCTACAGCTTCCGACCCTCACGGCTCCCCAGAGGCCCATGTGTTAGAGCAAAGGCTCGGTTGCTATCCTGTGGCAGTTACTATAGAACTTAATTTTCTCGGGTATTTTTGTCATAGTAACAGAAAGCTAGTAAACAGAGTTACCTGACTGGCTTTTAGAAAACTTCCAAGTCTATACTTTGTCTTCTGAGTCAGGGCCTATTATTTTGGAATTAATTCAACCACTGATTTAAAAACTAGAATACAAAGTTAATTAACTATTTTTTACATAATTTGTTTAATATGTGGAACTAAAAATATCTTTGGCTTCCTTTCAAAACATGTATTTGAATCTTCCTGCAAAATCCATATCAACTTATGTTTTAATTTTTTAAATTAGTATATCTTGGTCCTAAGACATTTATTATAGTTTTTTAAAAGAAGCAATTAATTTTCAATGAATTTTGAGAAACATAAATATCACAAGTTCCTTTTTCAAACATGACAAACAAAAAGACCAACTGTGTGCTCTACTGAACCATATCTAACAAAAACTTTCTAAAAACCACAGGCAGATAGGTAAGTCAGGTGTGCAGACCATCCTGGACTACTATAGAAACACTGCGTGTTTGTTTCAGCTGGGTGTTTTGCTTCATATGTCAACTACAATATATAAAACATTGACAGTATAACAAAGATATAAATATCTGAAAATAGTGTAAAAGAAATTTCAGACATTGGTAGTTTTAAATTCTAGGCTAAAATTTCCCCACTCTTTTCTGAAGTCATAGTTCACATTTATTTAGTGCTTATCAAATGTCAAATATGATTAAACTACTTCATTGATCCTCATAACAACCCAATGTGCCACATACTAGTAGCCTAATTTAACAGTGAGATGCGGAGGAAGATGAAGCCACTTCCACAGACAGTACGTGGCCTCAGATCCTGCATTCTTCACAGGGTGTTAGTTCCATAGATCAGCTTGGTCTGTTTTCTTATCTATCTATCTATCTATCTATCTATCTATCTATCTATCTATCTATCTAT